CATCACTGACACAAATACCATCCCATGCTAAATTTCAAGTCTCAGCTTCAAAACATTTCAAAGAAAAGACTACTAGAATTTAACATGGGAAAAACAATTACCTCTTTCTTAACCACTTCCTTGTTAAGAGCTGAACAATTTTGACTAAAAATTTCAAAACAAAATGTGGTCTGAATCAAACACCAAACATGGAAAATGTCAGCCCAAACAGTTAAAGTTTGGCAAAGTTAGAGGCAATTGAAAACAGGCTTTACAATAGGACGTGTCAGGCAATAGGCAGCACTACCAGCCCTACCTATAATCTGAAGAGTTACAGTTCATTATATTAGGCTAGTTACACATCTCACTGTAACAGGATGATATTGTGATGCTGGCAGAAGCAAGTGCCAGCTCATGCCAAAATGTGTGTCTCAACTGAACACTAACAAATACATAGCTGGAATCAATCTGACTCCTCTCTATGTTAATATTGTTAAAACAGGTATTAGAATTATGAGAATGTGCTTAATGTTTAGACTTTATTGAATGCTTGTGAATTATTGAATGCATTAATCGCATGCATAACATCAGTGTCCCATACAACAAGGTAATATTTGAGCAGTTGTATTGTAAGCCTCTGTGACGATCAGAGAGGAGACACACATTAATCAGTGTGAAGTACTAATCTGTAACAGAAGAAGTTATGTCATTCCAACTAGGAAAGATTCAGTGACACTGGATGGGCTATTGTGTGATGTTAAAGAGGACAAAAGACTTTGTTGTTCTGCCCTACCCCCAATGAAGATGAGTCATACAAGTTAATTCTTTGCAGCCCAGAGCACGTAGCAGAAGGGGAATTAGAGAGCCCAAACAACAAGAAGTAGGTACAGTAGAGTCCGGATTATACGACCTTCGCTTATCCGACCCTCTGGTTTATCCGACATAGCCATTCGACATGCTATTTACGCGTCCATGCATCACATACCGCCATGGCCGTAGCTTCGTTTGTTCCTCTGCACCAGTGATTTATGTTTGTGCTGTGATTGTGTTTCATTTTTCCAATTGCTGATTGCCTTACTGTAATATAATTTAATTGTTTGAATAACATTGCATGTGAAAAGAGAAAAAAAGTGGTTCTTTCCATTGAACAAAAACTTGAAGCATTAAAGAGAATAGACAAAGGCGAGTCCATGTTAAAAATTGCATCTGAACTCAGTGTAGGGCGAGTTACAATTGGTGACTGGAAGAGGAAAAGAAGTGAGTTAGAAAAGTGGTGCTCTGATCGACCCTCAAGTGCAGGACTGAAAGACAGAAAAACAATGAAAAATGTGAATATGAAAAAGTGAGTGAAGCTTTGTTCTTATGGTTCACACAGAAAAGTGATAAGGGCATGCCTATCACAGGCCCGATTCTGCAAGAGAAAACTCTGAGTTTCCAAAAGGAATTTAATGAAGGGGAACCTGATTTCACAGCTAGTGTACGCTGGCTTGATCGCTGGAAAAAAAGATACGGGTTAAGGCAGCTCAGTATATGTGGCAAAAAATTATCGGCAAATCAGGAAGGGTTTCTGAAATTTAAAACAAATTTTCATTGTCTCATCAAAAATGAAGGATTATCAGGTGAGCAGATATGTAAGTGTGATGAGACAGGCTTAAACTCTAAAATGCTGACTTCAAAAACTCTAGCTTCCCAGGCTGAAGCTTCAGCTCCTGGGTATAAACAAAGTAAAGAAAGAGTGATGATTCTAGCCTGTAGTAACACTACTGGTATCCACAAACTAATACTCACATTTACTGGAAAGGCAAAAAACCCATGAGCTTTCAAAAACATAGCACCTACTACTCTATCAGTTTCGTACAAGAATCAGAGGAATGCATGGATGGATTCAGCAATTTTCCAAGGCTGGTTTTTCAATGAATTTCTTCCTTTAGTAGAACAATTTTTGAATTTGCTAAACCTACCAAGGAAAGCAATCCTTGTCATTGATAATGCACCATCTAATCCTAGGATGAACTGATCAGTGGGGACATTAGAGTGATTTTTCTTCCTCCTAATATCACCTCGTGTCAGCCTATGGACTATGGTGTGCTTGAAGCGTTAAAGAAAAAATATCATCGTAAGCTTTTAACAACGCTCATTGAGGTGATAGACGATGGAAATGGTATGCTAGATAAGCTAAGGACAGTGAACATAAAAGATGTTATTTATTGGATCGCACAATCATGGGAAGAGATTGAACCGCAAACTCTGGCAAGATCATGGAGAAAGTTACTTTCGGAAGACAAAAACACACAAGAAATGGTGCAAGAAAATTGTGATAACCTGCTACCTTTGTTACAACAAATTCCAGGGTGTGAGAAGGTGAATGATGATGATATACAGGAATGGATGGAGAAAGACGAGCAACAAGAACTGACTGACCACGACATAACAACTCTGGTGAATCAGGATGACAATGACAATGAAGATGATGAAGATGAAGATACAAATGACAATGACAAAAAAGAGAGAATTAGTCATAGCGAAGGGGTCAAGGCTCTCGAAGCGGCATTGGCTTACATTGAACAACAAGCGGAGGCAACTGCTAGTGATGTTATGTTATTGAAACACTGGCGCGACCTCATCGCAAGGAAGAGAAACAAAGCTGGGAAACAAACTTCAATCACTAATTTTTTTAAACAATAACTTTAACGTTTGCCATACTGCATAGAAAATGTTCTGTACTCTATGATGTTACTTGTTCTGTAGAATAATAAGTAATAAATCTGATTTCATACCAGTTTCCATTTTATCCGACATTTTCGGTAATCCGACCACCCCTCAGTCCCGCACGGTCGGATTATCGGGACTCTACTGTATCTCTATGCTGTTAGAAATCTGGTTTCTAGGCATATGCAATATATCTTCAGTTGCTTAGGCTGGGTTAGCCCTAAAGTATATGTATAGAGCTTGCTTATTATAGATGCTCCTATTACCTTTTGAAAATTAAGACTGTAACTGATTTGTGTATATATGTTTACCTGCTTCAACCTTGTAAATAACTCTCTAATTTCCTTTTCCTATTTAATACATCTTTATATATTTCATTATAGACCTGGCTATAAGCATTGCCTTTGATGTGAAATCTAAGATGCAATTGACCTGAGGTCTTTTGGGACTGAGAATATCCTGAATATTGTAATGATTCTTGGTGTAAGGGACCATTTATCACAAAGGCAGACTCATCTGGCTGATGAGACAGATAAGTACACTCAAGGCAGCTGTCTGTATCTCCATGTTAGAGCTGTTATAGTGTCTGATGAGTTTCTACTTAATAACTGGTTGGTGAAATCTGAGTACATATATATAGAACTCTCAGTCCATTTGGCATGTGTGCCCTCCTCCCTAACAGCCTGCTCGGAGACTACCAGTATCATTGCAGGTATGATACATTTTTTAAAAACAATAAAGTTTCTCGTATTGGACAGATGCTTCTTTTTACTCACATTAATCTGACTCAAATGATTTCACTTCCCACAGGATGCCCACAACAGCCAATTAACTTTGGGTTACAACAGGTTTATCATTAACAAAGTGCTTCTAGTGCAACACATTTCTTTAATCAACATAGACACTTCAAAAAACTTGAAGCAAAGAATTCATTTAGCTATTTCGCAATGACTTTATCATCTTTGAGTGCTCCTTTAGCATCTCGATCATCCAAGGGCCCCACTGATTGTTTAGCAGGTCTCCTGCTTCTGATATACTTAAAAACATTTTACTATTACTTTTTGAGTTTTTGGCTAGCTGTTCTTCAAACTCCTTTTTGAGTTTTTTATTATATTTTTTACACTTAATTTGACAAGGTTTATGCTTCTTTCTATTTTCCTCACTAGGATTTGACTTCCACCTTTTGCAAGATGTCTTTTTATCTCTCATTGCTTCTTTACTTGGTTTTTAAGCCATGGTGGCACTTCCTGGTTCTCTGTGTTTTTTTAATTTGGAATATACATTTAAGTTGAGTCTCTATTATGGTGTCTTTTAAAAGTTTCCATGCAGCTCACAGGGATTTTACTTTTCTCACTATACCTTTTAATTTCTGTTTAACTAACCTCCTAATTTTCGTGTAGTTCCCCTTTCTAAAATTAAATGCCACAGTGTTGGGCTGCTGACGTGTATTTCCCACCACAGGGATGTTAAATTTTATTATATTATGGTTACTATTTTCAAGTGATCCAGATATATTTACCTCTTGGACCAGATCCTGTCTAAATCAAGAATTGCCTCTCCCCTTGTGAGTTCCAGAAGTAGCTGCTCCAAGAAAAAATCATTTAAGGTATCAAGAAATCGTATCTCTGCATCCTGCCCTGAGGTGACGTGTAAGCAGTTAATATGGGGATAGTTGAAATCCCCCACTATTATAGCCTCTCTAATCTCCCTTAGTATTTCATAGTCATTATCACAGTCCTGATCTGGTAGTCGATAATATATCCCTACTGCTACATTCTTATAATTGGAGCATGAAATTACTATCCATAGAGATTCTATGCAACATTTTAGCTCATTTACCTTTTATGATAAGCACATTTTGTGAATTAATAAATGCCATACAGCAAAATAAGTGCACTATGATTAGGCAATACATTCAAGAAACAGGAAAAGCACAGGTTACACTGAATCGTTTATTTTCTGTTAAAAACTAATTTCAGAGTTCCAGCTGATGTGGATAGGTGGTATCTGCTCCAGAGTAGAAGTGAGAAAGCTAAACCAAGTTTCATTTTCTATTCCTCACTTTTCAGATGCATGTCAGAGCTAGAAAGCATGAACAGAAACTTAAAAGAAATGAAAACTTGAGCAATGCAAACCAGATAACTGTGAGCTCATATTGTCATACAGAGTCACATAGTTGTCAGACAGAGACCAAGAAAGATAATTTTTATCAAACTGATACATCCTTACAGATGTTCCCCACAACATCAGCAAAGAACAATTCCCAACTGTCATAATGAGACCTTAGAAGAATAAGCTTAAATGATAGTCACCTATTGAAATATCTTGATGCCCATCTCCATCACCATTCATTACAGCACTTAGATATGCTACCATGTGCTTGGCAGCCAATGTTTGCAGATTAATGTGGCTTAAGAGCCTATGTTCTTCTCAGTAAACTTTGAGCATTGCAACATTTCCAGAAACAGCTATCGTTGAAACCAAAGTCCCACTTCCCCTGCAGTACGACACTGATAAGCTCAACAGTCACAGCCGAGGTATGAAAAACGGAAGGTGTGAATTGTCCCAAGAGCAGCAAAAATTATTGACAGTTAATAAATTAATATAAGCTATAACAGTTCAGCTTGAAAATAGAAGTGAAAAAAACAGGATAACTGAGGGTTAGCATTCATAGGAACTTTTAATTACAAACCAAGTTGTGAGGGAGGATAAAGGAAAAAATGTCTTTGATATTTATAATAGAATTATAGAACTATAAGGTTACAAGTGACTAGCCAGCCTCCTTTTAAAAATTTCCAGTAAAGGAACTCTCACGATCTCCCATGGCAGGTTCCATTGTCCTACTGTTCTTACAATTAGGAAGTTTTTCCTGAGATTTAATCTTAGCTCTACACTAGGGCTTTATTTCGCAATAACACACACACACCGGTAGAAGGCAGAGTGTTTGCACTACCAAGCCCATTATTTTGAAATAAGGGGCTGCTTATTTCGAAATCTGTACTCCTGCTTTTCTCAGGGAATGATGCTAATTTCAAAATAATTATTTAGAAATAGCACTAGGGTGGATGCTCCAGTGCCGCTTTTTTGAAATAACTACTCCCCAGAATAATTCAAACCAATTATTTGCCAGTGCATCCTGGGTCTCTAACTTGAGGTAGAGTATCCACGTTAACGGAGCCTGCCTCAGACTAATTTTGAGGCTTTCTATTTCAATTTTGTAAAATCAGGAGTTAATAAGTTGAATTTAATTATTTTGAAATAAAGCCCTAGTGTAGACATGGCCTGAATGTGCTATGCTGTAATTTGAACCCATTGCCTTGTTTCCTGCCCTCTGTGTCAAGAGCGTACAACTTTCCACCATTTCTTTTATGACAGCTTTTCAAGCATTTGAAGACAGCTATCATATCCCCCCCTTAATTTCCTCTTTTCCACACTAAACATACCCAATTTCTTTAGCTTTTGCTCATATGGCTTGCAGTCCATCCTTTTGATCATCTTTGTCACTTGCCCTCTGGATCCTTTCCCATTTCTTTATATCCTTTCTATGTATTGGTGACCAAAACTGGATACAATACTCCAGCTATGGCCTATACAGTGCTGAACAGGGTGGTACTATCATCTCCCGTTATATGCATGATGTGCCTCTGTTAATGCAACCCAAAAGTGAATTTGCTTTTTTGCAACAGCATTGCATTGCTGACTCATGTTGAAGTTGTGATCAATTACAACTCCCAGATCCTTCTCAGAAATGCTGCTGCCAAGCTAATTATTCCCCATTCTGTATTTGTGCATTTGGTTTTTCTTCCCTAAGTGTAGCACCTGACTTTTTTTTCTGAATTTTATTTTATTGTCTATAGCCCCCCTGTTCTCCAATTTATCAAGATCCTTTTGAATTTTAGCTGTATTCTCCAAAGCATTTGCAACTCCTCCTGCTTTGTCTCATGTGCAAATGTGATCAGTATGCTCTCTATTCCTACAACTAGACCATTAATAAAGACATTCAATAATACTGGATGCAGAACAGACCCCTGGGGAACCCTATTCCGAGACTTCCTTCCAATTTCACATCATTTCATTAACAGTTACTCATTTTTTGCTGTTGTTTAACCAATTATGTATCCATTTAAAGATAGTCTCACCAAGCCCAAATTCCTCCAGCTAACTTATCAGAATGACATGTAGGACTGTGTCAAAAGCCTTACTAAAGACCAGGTATACTATGTCCATTGCATTTCCCCTATCCACCAAACCAATTATCCTGCCAAAGAAGTAAATGAAGCTGGTTTGGCATTTGTTCTTAGTAAATCCTTGCTGGCTGCTTGTGATCACCCCTGTGCATGTTCTTGTTTTAACTGCCATGCAGGAGTTCTTTTAGCTGTGTGAATCATCAGGAATACTGCAAAGGCAGCACATTCAACCCCAGGAGAAATGGGAGGGAAGGTTATTAGATCATTCAACAAATTATTGTTCTGATCAATCAAGGAACTCTATTGGCAAACTCCAAAGATAGTGCCTGAAATTTGTCTTTAGCCAACACATGAGACGTGCACAAAATCAGTCAGATCAGAGCTATTCTAGTATTTCAGATTCCAAACAAAAGCTACAGAAACCCTCAAGCCTAAATAAATCAGGAGATTACTCACCCCTGCAGGAGCAGAAATATTCCTACTCTTAGCCCAAAGAAAGGACCCAGGTTAATTCCTCCCCATGAAATTAGCTTCATAAAACTTCTCAAAGAGTCTCACATGCTTTGAACTTAATTGCTTAATTGTGCATAACTTCCATTATCATTATAATATGAACAATACCCTGAGAATAAAATAGGCACCACAGAAAAGCAACACAGTATAGACTCAATCATAGATTGGTTCACATTTGAATTAAGCTTGGGAATGTACCAGTTTAGCTAGCAGAATTTTAAGAGATCTACACTTGAGTACAAGACTGCTATACCAAATTATTTATTTTCACTGTGTGCCTGGTTCTTCAAGGAGCTCAGGCAACTCCTGGATGGAGCGAAGCACTTTTTACTGACTTTGAGAATTGAAGTTGATTCTGCATCTTCTACAATGAGGACCATAGCTTTCAGTCAGATTGCAATTGTCTCAGAGAGCAGCTACTGCTTCTGTAAAAAGCAGTAGCTCACTGTTATCTTGTAACAGAAATACTTACTAATAACGCTTATTAAAGGTAACTGGAATTATTAAAATACTTCATGTTCCTTTAAAATAATTCATGTTCCCTGGAATTGCACATTCACAAAGAAATAATTCGAATTATACTCTGACACTCAGATAATCATTTTTAATATAAAAAGATACCTTTAATTGAAAAAAATTGTCTAATTTATTTGCACTTAAAGATAAGACTTATTGGGGGGTTTAATAATGAAGAATCTTTAATCAAATATACTTGTAAGTAATTACATTTTAAAAAGGAAGATTTAATTAATGAAAATAAAATAAAAATAAAGCCCGCACATTTGTAAAACAAAATTCTACCTACACATTCCACTTTTATTCTCAATTGAATATTCTCAATGGAATAGCTTCTGAAAAATAATTGGTTTAAAGACAGAAACTTCTCAATTCAGATCCCATTAGACAGATGGTTTAAAATGTTCATTATATGAAGGATCATTATAACAAAACATGTCAAACTGATTTATAACAGGCAGGATTTCCATGTAATTGAAAGGAAAGATTACCCATAATACCAACAGTGTGATTCCATGGTACAATGATATTTATATCTCGTCATATACTTGAACATTCTCTCTTTTAGCCGGTGTATTGCTTTATAAAAGGAAGCAGCTTGTCCTGAATGCAACTATCCATGGGATATTTGTTTTCCTTACAGCTACACATGTCTATAATAATATAATATCTTATACACACACAAAACAGATCACTTACCTAATAATTTCTTCTCTTTACAAATCATCACTTTTCACAGGGTTCCAATTGCCAGCCTACATGAATAAAAAAAAATAAAGCACTTATCAAATGATACTACCTTGCACTGCTATTTTATGTCTAATATAGTGAAAGGATCAAATTAATTCTTGTGGTATTTAGTTATTATTGTTCATATTAGTTACTACTGACTTAATTTAAGTTTGCTTTTTTTAAACTAATTAGATATTAATAATTTGGTAAATACAAATAGAAGAAAAGCACACCGATAATTTGGTTAAGATTCTGCTCTGGAATGTGCAGGCACTCACTGGCTTCAATAATAACAAGAGAGAATTTAGTCCATATATAGTTGGGGATTTATTTTTAAAAATAGTAGTAGCAGAAAACTATGGAACACCAGCTAGTCCCATGGTGTCCAGCCAGTTCTGAAGCCACTAGCCACGTTCAACCAGACAAATAACCACATTGCTCAAGCCAACTAGCCACACTCAACCAGCCAAATAGCCACATGTGGCTAGTGGCTACTGTGTTGGACACCATGGACTGTTAGTCAATGTGCTGTTGCAATGATAATATTAACATTTCTTCTCTGCAGAGCCACACCTATTTCTAGTTCTATTCATTGGAAATATTCTAGGTAGTTCAACAGAACTGCAATGAAATCTATTTACCATAGATCAGACATCTCTCCCCACTCAAACATACACAGAATATTTGCATTTTTATTAAAAAGGACACAAATATTTTACAGTATACTCATAAGATTGTTCAGAAAGTAAATTAGTTCCAAGTATAGCCCATGTCCCTTGGGGCACCTAACACTGCTTCTCTGGCAAGGAGCATATAAAGAGCACTTATGTTGTAGCGGAGATACAATGCTTTGCTAGTGCAAAGCATAGCAGAGACAGTAAGACTCTGCTATGACTGCTGCTCTTTTAACAATTATTAATGTCAGTGGAAATAGGCCTAAAATAAAATCATGGATGAGAAAATTAAAACTTCTTAAGCTCAAGTCTGAGCAGACTTTTAAAGCTGGTCAGAAATTGCATTTTAACAAAATACGCTTTTCATCAAAGTCAAAGAGTTTAGTGGAGATGTGCTTATTTAAACTTTCAGCATGAATTTATTTTGGTTTGATTTGGGGTTTTGGGAGAGAGAAAGAGGCAGACACTTTGTAAATGGGTTCAAATCCCTACTGTACCTGAACTGGAGCGATGTGGGATGAAAATCTCTGCTCTGAATCAGACAAAGCAGGGACTTGAGTCTGATCTCCCATATCCCAGGACTTTGGAAGTCACGGATTCTGTGACCTCCATAACAAAATTGTAGCCTTGACTCAAGTAGGGAGCATAGCAGCCTGAGCTCCAGGTGGGATTCCTGGAGCTGCCAGGGTCCCTGTCACAGAGCAGTGAGCCTAATAGCCAAGAGGTACCCAACTTTAGCCATTTCCACTAGCATTCACTATGTTAGGCA